CTCTCTCCTCCTCTCTCTCTCCCTCCCTCCTCTCTCTCTCTCCCTCTCTCTCTTCCTTAAATTCTCTATTTGGATCATTTGTTTGCTGTCATATTTGTCAACTGTGTTTTCAATCAAAACTGATTAAATCCTTACAATGTTTACATTTAATTTAATTATTGAAAATGAGTTTATCAAAGAACAGCAAATGGAATGGAACTTTTATTCATCAATTAACTTGGACAAACCTTTTCCGGCCATATGTTAGCTATGCTATATAATGTGCAATGGATTCCATCAAAATATATTGAAATATTTTAATAAATCTTACATTATTCTTCCACTCCTTTATTCCCGACTATTTCCCGGTTCTTCCCAGTACATTCTATTTGTTTACTGAATACTCCTCCATGTGTCTTCCGTCTTTTTGAATCATATGTCACATGAGATGTCAACAATCATGAATTATATTATTTCATTAGAATTTCATTAGATGTCAACAATCATAAATTATATTATTCTACATTTTGCTATTAATGTCACGAATAATTTCTGTCTTGATTAGTATTTTTGTTGACTTATCAGTTAATATTTTATGATAAGAGATGTACAGAACAGTTCGCTATTCACGATGATTCATATCAAGTATGTCTTTATCAAAAATGTAACCATTATTTAATTATCATTCAATAAGAATGAGCAGTATTAGTGATAGATATCACTAATTTAATGAATTGATTGTTTTTAGTAGACTTTGCTTAGAAGAGGTGGAATGGTTCCATCCATTAATTTGACGTTTAGATAGATATGTGTAGGATGACAGATTTGTTGAGGATCAGCTGAGAGCTCTGCTCTCCAATGATGTTCTTATCTATTCTCTTAACTTTTCTTTACACAAGACACTTGAGTTATGAGAGTGCTCGGATGTCCTGATATACGAGGAAGTAATGAGTAAAATCGTAGAAGAAACTTCAGTGTGAAAGTTTTAGCAAAAATATTGCATCGTTATGTTTTATTTGTAGATTGATCACAATTTATGTAGTATTTCTTGTTGTGGTAATGTTGGAGACATGTAGGGACAGCTCTTTTAAAGATTTATACTCAAAAATATGCTTGTGATTTAACTGTAGATCGCGAATTAGCGGAGATATGATATCTGTTTGATTAATTGATAACAATAAATTTGCCCCAATATTATTAATATTAGGGGAATGTTGCAAACGGGTGACACCCGAATTGGTTTGGATGGACCAACTGTCACAGCAGAAGATGGCTTCTTAAACAAAGTGATGATCAGTTCGATGGATGTGAGGAAAGTTATTGCTTTGATTGGTGCATTCTATTGGACTATCATGACTGTTTTTGTTGTTCCTGGTATTATTACTGCAACTTTCCTTACCGTTATGATACCTACTCTTTGTATCAGGTTAGTTTACTCTTTTGCAGCTAACTACATGATATAACTGAATCCAGAAATACTAGCTTTAATAATTGCTAACTTTCTCATCTTCCAGTGTATCATGGTTTAATTGGCTTGATCACAAGCTTTGCCGTATGGTAAACGATCATTGGAGCTCAGCTGTACAAATTGCAGGTATCAACATTGTGGAGTACGGCGATGATATTTCACAGGTTTCTTTCATCTTATAGATTCGAAAATTTTTAAGCAACTCGATATTTTTTTTTTCTTGTTTACTTACGTTGGTAGTTCATAATATAGTTTACGCCCTTGTCGTCTTTATTGTTTTCGCCTTAGGTAATTGCAATGAGCTTCACTTAATATATAGGAAGGGTCGCTATGAACTGGTGATCATGGAACAGAACTTCGCATGAAGTGAGTTAATTGGTGGATTAAATTTTAATTTAATAATTTAAATGCGGAAATGAGCATTATACGAATTTTGCAGCTCTCTGAAAAACGGGTTTTATTTCTTGCCAATCATTTGGGTCTTGCTGATCATTTTGTGATTATGTCAGCATTACGAAACAAAGGAACTGTTGTTGAAAAGGTGCACTTTTTGAGCTGAAGTATTTTTGAATGAAATTATTATTTTTTTATTATCACTCTATTTTTGATTGAGGGAATCAATTGAATGCGCTCTCTCCGGTGAGAAATTATGTTAATTAAAAATTCAAAGAAATTGAATTGTTAAGGAATATCAGTTTTTATTATTGCTGTATTTCGATTACTTCAGTATCTTTGGGTTATATATAATATATGGAAAATGACACCAATGGGTGTGATGTGGACTATCCATGGCAATTACTTTGTTGACGGTGGTGCTGCAAAACGAGATCAAATGATTGAGAATTTCAAAACACATTTGAAAAGGAATTATTGGAAATACGATCATCGATGGATTATTATGTATCCAGAAGGTAATAATATTTTACATTTGATGAACTATTCATTCTTATTTAATTTAACAGAAATGTTCTGCTAATTTAGCAGAAATTTTATGGCATGATCGGTTTTTCCATTTCTCGATCAGTGAATTGAGTCTGGTCAAAAAGTGGTGCTCGAATAAGTGCTGTTGAAATTCAATGGAATTGGAACTTCATTTGTCTATTAAACTTCATTGTCTTCAAATAGTTTGAAAAAAAAGAAAAGGAACATGATAATTTTGATCAAAAAGTCGGTTTTCCATAGGTAAAATAAGTTTTTCTTTACTCGTCCAATATAATTTTATGATTGCGATTGACATTATTTATATCGTGGTTTTGAATTTCATCCTAGATGAAGTTTACTGGTTTTAATTTCAGGAGCAAGACTATATCGGATCAAAGAAAGTAATGCTCGATATGCAGCTCGTGAAGGCTACAAGGTCTTTCGGCATTGTGCATTACCACGTACTGGCGCTGCTCATGCTACTATCGAAATAACGACTAATGCTGATTATGGTAACATTATGGAATCAGATTATTTTCGAATACTATTTTCTTTTATTCTGGATAACAGTTTCTTTTAGGAATCGTACTTTTTCAGCAGCCATCAAGGATACCAACGCTTCACTCGAATATATTGTTGATTGCACCTTGGGATATCAGAATGGTGATGTACCCAGTATCGGTAACTGGTTACTCGGTGAATTACCGAATGGAATTCCAAATGTTGCTGTTCATTACAAAGTAAGTTTGTCTATTACTTCATGCCAAGAACATTCTCTTTACTTTTAGTTTTAATTCTTTGAAAATTTCCCAAGTAAATCAGGTGTATTTCATTCAACTTTTTCATTTGGAGTATAACACACCTTTATTTGCTATTTCAACGGTCGAGATAGGACACTTGATAAACTGGCCACCCTTAAAAAAATTGAGACCTAATTTAGTAAAATATCCAGTTCTTTAATATATTCGATTGGCATTCCTTGTGGAATTTCAATTATAGAGTGTGGTGACTGAGGAACGTAGTGTTTCACGCATTCAACGAATTTTCATAATGTTTAAATCAGCCAATTATCTTTGATTTATTAACTTCTCCTGGTGCTTGAAATATATTCAGCTACAGATTTATCGAATAAGGCCTGAGTGGAAAGACGAAAATATCCTAAAACACTGGTTGTATGACATCTATGAGAAAAAAGTAAGTTAAATTCACTTTCACAAACAAAAAAAGTCCATTGTCATATATGCTGTCTTCTTTATTTTCCTAATGACCATTAGCAATTACATCTCATTTGCAATTACATCTTCTTTGGAATATCTTTTTTTAAGGATGAATTACTGGAAAAGTACTATCAAAGTGGCATATTTCCAATGGATTCACAACATCATCCAACCGTTGTTCGTACTTCAATGTCCAGGTGCTTATTTGTTGAGGCATTTTGGCTTTCGCTGCTTTACCTTCATTATACCATATGGATGAAGTCAGTTGCTGGCTTAATTTACCGATGTTTTGTTGTTATATTGTTTGCCTTTTTGGGGATGTTTTAAATTTTTTCCAAATGTGTACTTTTTCAATCCCTTATCAAGTGTTATTGATATCACTACTACAAATCATATAATGCAAATGAACTTAATTGACCATTACAGAATTAGTAACAGTGAGTTCGAGCTCACAGCAGTTTTTCAGTTTAAAGAACCTCAAGGATGAGTTTGTACCATTAGGAAAATTCCATGCTAACATCACAGGAAAGATCTAGCTTTGATTTAAATGAAATTTGGATACGAATTTTGTTTGAATCTCTTCAAGTGTCCTTTAGATGGTTTCCCTTTCCTCCCTTCCTCAAAAAAGCAGATGTATGATAAAAGTTATCAGAATCACGAATATTTTGATTTATTCAATCTAACTAGTTGTTGGCATTCATTCACTTTTCAAATCGTGCCAAGATGAAGTTTTTTTTCAGTTTTACGATTTTCCTTGATTTTCCAAGAATTATCGAAAGCTTTTGACAGATGAAATAATGGGAGTTATTAACCGCCAATACTATCCACATCTTGTCATTTTATATGTTTACATTCTTCTCTTGAAGTCACACTCCTTCTTGGTCGATTAAGTTAATGCGGGTGGAAGTGAGTTAAGGATAGAAATGATTGATAAGTTTTTCAAAGAGGCCAATATTCAAGAGATATAATTAAGAAGTTTGAATTCAAAAAATATTGCTATAGGCACTACCATATCCTTCAGCATATCATATGGTATCACTGAACCTTAACATATGTCTAAAATAAGTTTACTGCGAATCTTTGTAGATTGATTCGCAGTCCAATAGAAAATTTGTAAATTTGTATTAATCCCTAGGAAATTTGTATGCGATATCTTCAAAGTTAATGCTTGTATATTTCTCCCTAATCTGAACACTACATCACATTTCCATCTAAATATTATGTATCTATTAGCTTATTTGCCAGCCATGCCTTATCTGCTGAGTATTTCTTCAGTTAGCATTTATGTTTGTGAAGTAAAATTTGATGCCAAATCTTTCCAACTCGAATATCAATATTCGACTGACAAATGTTTTGATAAAAATCATTTGAAATGTTATTGTTATTTGTAATTGTAAAGTTATGAAAATTAGAAATCCATCCATTTTGCTTGTCATATAATAATTTCTTTAATTTTTTTATGGGAATTGGTTAGATGAAGAAATATTACGGATGGTACCGTATCCTTTCGTTATATGATTAAAGGCCATTTTGTTAAATGAATGAAACGAAAGGACATATATCTTAAGGTAAAGGGAACTTTAAGGATCGGATAAAACGGGAGAAGTCTGGCGTGATGGGAACAGATTAGTACCAACGTTGAGGAGAGATTTATGACTAGCATTTGAAAGCATATGGGTTCTCTTGTTACACCATTAGTTCTTTTGTTTCAGTATCAATCCAATAAATGAGAATGTATGTATATTGTTGGGTGATAGTGTACAGGAAACTGCATTATATCATTTCCACTTCCAAAATGGCAAAAGTTGTTGCCATGTATAAAGTCATTCATAATGTAAAAGGTTTTACGAATTTCATCCCAAAAATATCAAATTCGATTGATTTCAAAAAGGAATAAGACTCTCAAACAGAGGAACTCAATGCATTTGCATTTGACACTATTTCAATTCCGATATTAAGTCCTATTTAGTCCATAACGGGGGTTAGTTGAATTTTTTCTGTTCAACAACTTCCACAAATACTATAATCTCGAAAAAGATTGTTACTAGTAAGAACTTTGATCGATTCTAACAGAGGTTGGAAGAATTCGAATTCTTGTTCAGTCTATGATCATGGATTTTCGATATGAATTTTCCTCATAAATAATGTTCCTCTTATTCACTTTCTCATTGATGTTCCGTTTGAGTCAGCGGACTGTCATCTGTCATCATGTCAAGCTTCCAGTCATCTTGAGAAATAAATCATTAAAGTCCAGATAATGCTAGCAAAATACAAATGATTCATTCCTCTTAAGAAAAATATCCAAGACTTGCTTAAAAAATGCGAGTCTTTCATTCGTTCCGCTTTCAATGATGGATAGATCGTTTGTCAAATCCCAATCGTCTATTTTGAAAATTCAAAATCAACAACGATTTCGCAAATGAAAAAATTCAAAACCTTATAGGTTACAGTCTCAGGTACAATGTACACATACCTGTACAGGATAGGCATACATTGTACCTGAGACTGTAAGAAATGAATCCAACTCTCCGTTCTTGTTCGGTTTTTATATTCGATCTATGTTTCCGCTGCGGAAGACTTATAACGTTGAGAAATGGATACTGTAGTTTCTGTTCTCAATACTGTGATTCATGTTTTATAGTGAATACTGTAATCTTTGTTTTGGCCTCAATGAGCTAGTAACTTGCGGAGACCTTACAAACTTCCGGAGATGGAACTTTAGTGAGACGAATTTAGGGTAAAATTACATCCAAATAATTAAACGAAAAAAATTTTGTAATAGTACCATTAGAATCGTTGGTCACTTCAAATATATGTTATTGTGAACACAACTTGTAGTACACATCTTGCATACTTATAGTATCAACTGCACATCGAATTTTTTTTAATTATTATTAACTTCCAATTGAAATAACTGATCAATGTATTACTTAGAATAATAATTAACACTCAAAGTGTACATGTATATAAATAACAAAGGTATCTAAAACGCACAAAAAGAGACTGAACATTTTCAGCAAATATATTTTAGAAACGTTTCACGTATTGTCTTCCTTCTCACTTCTTATATTTCAGAAAGCTAAAAAATCCATAGAGAAATATCACAATTTCTCTGTAATTTTTAAGTGAAATCTTTAGAACTCTTTATTCCCTCTTCTCAGTACCTCCAAAAGGATATTAACCTGCTGAAAAATGTTTCCGGTTTCATAAACCTCACTAAACATTTATACGGTGAACCGTTTCACTCTTCCCTTCACAGAAGTAAGATTTAGTATTAAAGGTTATAAAGAAAAATATTAGTAAACAAATGTTATGTAAAATCTTTACATTATAAAAATTAGTCGCCTACACAACCATTCATGAATGTTTTGAAGATTTTAAAGTATCTCAAAAAGTATACTTTTACTCAGAATCCGATCAATTTCTTCCTGATCAAATGAACTGTCACAAAATGTTGAAGAATCTGAACAGCTTTTTGAAGTTGAATTTGTTCTTAGAACGATGAATACCTGTTTTGAAAGGTTGTACATGTGACGTACTTTTCTGTAATACATAATGGCAACCACAGTTAACTGAAACAATCAAATGGAAAAAAGAAACGGAATCCTGACTCATCTAAATATGAAACATCATCATTTGAGTATACTTCTTCACTAAGAGTATATCATTTCAAAAGTGATTTTAACATTTGTGAGGCTAATACTGACTGAAACCGAAAACGAGAATTGACATTTCCTAAGTGCTAATGTGCGCCAAACTTCAAAAAGATGAGAAGTATCCAGAGATCAAAAAAAAAAAACTGCTTATATTAGAACTCAATAACATGAACTTAAAATTTCGGAAAACAAACAAACGCAAAAAACGGAATAGGGAAAAAGACCGGCAAATGAAAACGCGTAATATGAAAATGAGCATTCAAATGTAAATATATTAATAGCGGTCGCCACAAATGTACAACAAATTCCGTGTCAAGAAATATGATCCAAACAAATAATAATTTAAATTGTAAAAACGTTTAGAAATGTGGCACTTTTGAAAAAAGATTACAATGTTATTCATGTTTTACTTTTGTATTGTAACAGAACAATTACCAGGAATTTTACAATTTTCTGGCTATCCCATAACTATTTACCCATTCTCACCGATTAATTCAGCTTGGAAGCTTAATAAAAGTTAAGTTTCAAGACAAGAAAGTGTAGGTAGTGTGTACCATCCAGATTCGAGATAACTTGGAAAAAACATATTTCCTGGTTATCAGCTATTATAAGACATACATAATAATATTTGGAATAGCTAATACCTTGCAAGATATGTTAGAAATGTCCTTAAATAGCATTCATTGCAAGCATTAAGGACCGATGGGTATGTAGGGGATAAAAAAAATAATGCAAAAATATTTGGGTTAAATAAAAAATTACAAAAATGAAGGACAAACCACAAATGCCTTATAAACCAATAATAAACAATCATCACTGAATAAACAACTCATGAAATTTGTAAAAATAAAGTGAAAAGAAAAAAGACAACAAACTTGCTGCAACGGATTTCATGAGCAACAAGGGCAGCATTATTTGGAAAATTGTTTTATTCCTGCATTACAACGGAATAGTTACCAGGACTATTACAACCTCTCCATCACTTCATGCTATTTATAATAAAAGATTGAAAGATAAATCACTATAACCCGTCTTCATTAATTAACCAATCAATTAATCAGTTTCGCTATTAAATGGGTCAGTTCTTAGAATCGTAAAAGGATGAAAAGTGTATACCACCCATTTCAAATAACTTAAAGTATATATATATATATATTGCTTGGTTATTATTACGATATATATATATATATATATATATATATAATATATATATGACAATATCGGGATACTGGACTACTACCAGCATTCTTTATCGATCTTGTAAATGGTTTACAAATGGATTATGAGAATTCATAAATATTTGGATTTCATAACATACGAAGTTTAATTTCATAAAAAGGTCAAGTATTGGAATGATTAGGAAGATATTAGCTGAAGTAAAACTACCAGCTAATTTGGTGTGGTTAGATGATTAGATGACACTATCTATTTTAAGCAAACATTCCTTAAATTGATACAGACAGCAATATATGAATGCATGCATATATATATCACCGTTCACGTCTGCTATTTTGATGCGTTAAAGCATGAGTGTTCAGAGCATCAGCAGTTGTAAATCCGGCATCACACTGCTTGCAAATATGTGGTCGGTCGCAAACGTGCGACAGCCAATGTCGCTGCAAAGCAAAAGCATCCGGGAATGATTGTCCACAGATGGCACAAGGTAAAGCTGCTGATACCGTTGCAGCATTTACGGATGATGCAGATGTCACGGTTGGTTGCGTCGACGCTGACCATTTCCGATCCTGAATTCGAAGTAAGAAAAGTGACTTAAAGAAACTGGATTAAACAATAAATGACAAACTTGAACGTTCAAATCATCATGGCGTACTCTACTGTGAACACTTCTAAGGTTGCATCCTCCCTCAGATGAATCGAACATGTGAATCAGATGTATGATTATCTCTAATTTCAACTAGAAAAAGATGGTGATGATGTGAAAATTACATGAATAGCTGTATCTACAGTATTGCATCCGTTCGCTTTTTCAATTTCAATTTCATTTAGTTTTGTCGGCTGACGTTGTTTCACCAATCCATTGCTGTAAATAATGAAATAAAATGCATCATAAATCTGTGCAAAGGTAAAAAGCTCAATATATCTGCACAAGGAAAGTTAAAAACACTAACTGATGTAACCTATGTTCATAAAATAGCTTCTTTTATAAGCTTCTCACCTAATCCTTCTGTCATATCTTTCCAACCATTATTCAGTTCTACTAGCGATAAGAAAAAGCTAAATTAACAAGAGCTTTAATAAAATAATTATATTTCTGCATAAATGCACAGCTCAAATTCTTTTCTTTCTCATTATTAAGCAACAAACCTCGTCACAACGTTCCGGTATCCGCATCATCAGAATCCATCGATAACATTAATGTAGAACTGCATGTAGATGTTTTTGAACACGCTGTATGAGATTCTTCTGGTGCATTCGGACTATGATTTGGCACCGAATTCATATGTTGCCCAGGTGTTGAATTCGTTAATTTACGGTGCAGAACTACCGATGTGTCACTTGCATCTGATAACACTACAATTGCACTCTCGATTTCATCACGACTATCTTAAAAAACGATGTAAGAACCATTACATCCAGTAAATCACCTTATATATATATATATATATGAGAGAGAGGTTCAGGTTTAAGGTAATGTCGTTTTTGTTGAACATCTACTTCGTAGTACAGAAGAAAAAACTCAGTTTCTGGTACGTATTGTCACAATATATCCAAAAAAGTATGAAACTTTATTACTCTAAATTGTATAATTCTGCATCAGATGAAAAGAAGAAATCCCAAATTTAATCTTTTCCTTTTTAAGAGCGACAATGAAGAACCAAAACCTGGCAAAGGTGCATTAGCACCGCCATGATAATGTGCAGCGATATGCTGTCTAAGATTTTCACGACTTGGATAGACTTTGTCACATTGTTTCTTTGGACAGCAAAAATCTTTTCCATCCCGTAACATCACATGATCAGCGTGAAGATGTACCTAAACTGACCTTTAATGAATATCACACGATATGTAATAATAGTACAGATTAATCAACGGTTTCTGAGGAATAACTTTTGCAAGTAGATCATATTTGCGCAATCTAATGTTAAAAATATCGCAACTTCAAATTACTGGTTCCTATAAAATTCAACAAATAATTGTGTATCTTAAAGCTTAAAATAGATATTGAAAATACAATAAACTTCAAAAATTCAGTTGTAAGAGAAGGACTAGCACGCTGGTCTATTAAGCTACCTGCAAATCAAAGCTGGATTCGTAGTTGACCTCACAAAGATTGCATCTGGTAGAAGCTGGCAAAACAGGTGATGGTGCTGTAGCAGCCAAAACACGTTGCGTTGGTGTCGAGCTTTCACTACGTCCAGCTCCTTCACTGTTTGCTTCATCAGATCGTACAGAGGAACCTATGCATGAAGAAGACAATCAATAATTAGTCTGTAAATAAGATCAATCGATACTTTATTCATAAGCTTTAAGATAATCCTATGATATTTCGAAATATGCGCTGTATGATCAAGATATTCTACGCGCAATACTAATTTGCACAATAATATATCAAATTTTTTCAAAGCCTAAATCATTAATTTACCGTTATCTGAAAGAGCAGCGGAATCAACTGTTGAACGACCAAATATATCAACAGAGCGACGATCAGAAGTCTGAATAAAAGAAAATCGGGGATCATACTAAAAATAATGCAAAAGAAGCATGGATAACATGAAAATAAATACAATTTCTGAGACTTCACCCGAATTATTGGAAGGATGACCAAAAAACTGTTTGACGGTACTGGCAAAATGAAAAAAAAAAAAGATGGATGAATGTAATACCACAAAACAGCTTTTGTTAATCTGTATCCAACAAACGGAGGTTCAAGCTGTTGACATCTTCTGAGGCCTCAGGAAATACAATGAGAAAGATGAGGATATCGGCACAAAATAATTAAAATTCATACCGAATTTACATCAAGTTTCGGTGGCATCCAAACGTTTGCAGAGATCGATTTGCCAGTTAACTCATCCGATTTTCGCTGCGACATTGTCATATCGCATTTTCTGGGTGATATTTCAGTCTAGAATGTTGCAATATTTCTTAATGAAATGAACTGCTTTGGCAAGAACTAAAAATGAATAATTATTCAATATCCAACACATTTTTCCCCACCCTTCTTTTCCTAGCTTTTCACGGTATCAATCCTTCCTCGCTCATACTTCCTACACAACGATATAAATATATACCAGCATCTTTGCTGCTAAGGCGTCGGGACGTTTTGACGTATGCTGCTGACCAGTTAGTAATCGTTTATTTTCAACAAAGGATTGGCTAGTACTAGTTGATGGCACAGGAGAACGTTGTATCTTCAACTGCTGCGACGAGTAGCTAATGTTAGTGCTGCTATGAATATTGTTATTGCTATTATTTGTAGTATGTAGCAATGGCACTGATAAATGCGACATTTGTTCACGGCATTCCAGGGCATTTGAATCACGTAAAGTGGAAATGATCCCTGAAAAGCAATTTTTACTAATTGACAATTGTACTGAATTACGGTTTTTTTACTGTAATTTTCTAAGAGATCAATTTTTTGAATGTTAATGACATCAACAATCAAAGACAATAGTAATCTTCTGCGATCTTCTTCCTGTGGGGAAAAAAAAAACTCCATTGATCTAGTCATAATGGAACATCAAAACCCTAGCACTGCAAATCGAATAACATTTAATTGGCTTGCAAAACTTATTTCTTATTTCAAATTTACGAAAGATATTTTCATAGTTATTAAGCATTGATAAGTTTACCTAAAAACCAAAATAACCGTTAGTCCAGATTAATGATCCTTCCAATAATGAAGCTACAAAATCAAAATAACTAACCGAGAATGCTTTGTCGTGCACGCTCACAATCCGTCGTATCAATTTCGTTCAAATATACACCACCTTCTCTACGTGTAATGAGTGATAACGAATCTTCTGGGATAATACGCAAACTTTCCAGCTTCATAACATGAGTTTTTGAGCGTAGATGTTTTGCGAGGATACCGTGTTTCCGAAATCCAATATTGCAATCGGTACACATAAATGATCGTGGATTCATCGACGACAAATTTGTATTGGTTTCTTCTGAAATAATTCTTTCTACATCTGATTCAGGTTATTTCATATATTCATCTTCCACAGTGGTAGCCAATACTGCGCACAAATTTGACTGAACCGTTGTCTATTAAACTATATGCATATGATATATTTATTATCGAACGGTCCTCTCGCATCCATCCTGGTTAAGCTTTGGAACCCATCTGATTTGATGATAATAATCTTGGTTTACGTGAACATTAGTGATGATATGTACGTCACATTGTGCTTCTCACACACCACCTATTTGTTCGATTTCCACATGAAATATTCTCATGTTGGATATTTTGCAGGATAACAAACTTCATTAAAATAGCAATTTGTAAGCATGTACCGTTATCCGAATCGTTTAATTGTTCTGTTTGCAACCTTTCAACAATCCCATGCCTTTCTTCCATATGTCGCTGCAAAGCATTACGTGATCGAATCGAATACTTGCATTCGCTACACTGGTAGGACCGCATACGTGAATTTGACGGTCCAATTAAATGGATTTTGCGATGCAATGTCATTTCCGTCGAACTTCGAAATACACGCTTGCAAATATCGCATATCATTGTCTTGAAAAGAAAAAAACTCCGAACATTCACAAGATCAAATTAGGTGACTCTGTTTCGTGCTTGCTTAAGTGATATTTCAACGCAGTTTGCTTTTTTGTGACATCTGAATAATCTCGTGAAACAAAAGATTATGCAAAAGAAGGAAAAGAGTCTGATTAACGTTTGTCAAGTAAAATTTCTAAATGACTATATGTATCAATCTTTTCATTATTAACTAATCTATCAACTATGTAGAAATCACCTATTTTATTTAGATAATAAATAAGCATTTTCCTCAGACCTCTTTAGCAAAAAATGCTCCCACTGAAGGTTGTTGTTGCTCTGTTATGAAGGATGATAGTGATTGCAATTGTGAACAATCACTGGTTGTAGGTACCAGACTTTGAACCATTGACACAGCACAGGTTGTTGGTTGTTTAACTTCAGAGCTACGGACGTCTTCCAAGGTGTCCTAAATTTTAAATTGAAGAGATTTGAAAACGTCACACTAGGCAAACGGTAAAGAGTACTTATAAATCTTAGAGAATAAAGAATTATGGTAAGTGAAAAATTTTTGGTAAGTAAAGAATTTAGTAAAGAATCGGAATGGTCGGTAAAGCCTCATCAAACATTACTTTCTTTAGCAGAAAATTGGTTTCCAATAATTTTTGTTGCTTCCGTCCTTCCGATGGATATCGCGCACTAGGTGGTGCGCTGTGACATGACCGTAAGCAATTCGGAATTGACCAATCAAAAACCGTTTCACCAACAATCCATAACATTGGCGGTGTATGAGCTGTTCGTTCCACTAATGTATTTTCTTGAATATTGATGAAAGTTAGATTTATAAATTACAAACAATGCAATTTTCCACCGAACCGCGCTTTCAAGTGGACAACAGATAAATAATAATGAATTTCAAATCAGCTTCAAAAAAGAATTTGAATCATGCAGGAGTGTTATGCGACAGAATACTTGTATTATGTCCATACATATAGGACTGCAAGTGAATTTTTTTCACAGCAACTTGATTTGTAAGTCCAATTATACATGAAATGTTTGTTATACGATAACAAAATTTATGACTTAAAATTTATGATCGCTCCAATAGATAATTGGGTAAAAGGAAAAGGAAATCTTGATGTTTTTTGGGATAAATTTCGATTTTGTGAGCAAAAATTTTAAAATAAAACGAGATCACCTTGACCAAATTTTCGATACATATTTTTGTTTTTGTCATTACAGGGTGGTCGTAATTCTTCATCTGACGAACTAAAAAAAACAAAGTGAATGTTGGTCTGCTAAGAATAGTTTAAACATTTATCGCAAATAACATCATAAAATTCAGAACCAAATTACGAATTTACCATTCATCGTCTGAAAGTGGATCGTTGCTAAAGGTTGAAGCAGTCCCACTAAGACTGGCAATTTCTAATCGATCATGATCGCTATCCGAATCTTGCTCAACTATTTTCTGCTTCTCTTTTTCAGCCATTCGACGACGATGTGTTTTTGATTGCAGATGTTTGGTAAGGTTACCTTTTGTTTTGAAGTTGAAATTACATTGTTTACAACCGTATGGTCGTATATCTGAATGTGACCTATAAACAATATAAAAATAATCCATGATAGAGATGTGGAAAAAGCAAAAAAGCTTTTTTTTTTTGTTTCTATAATGCAGTTCACAGTTTAGAAAGACTCCATCTTGGATAAAAGAAAAAAAGCCTCTTCATTCTATGTGTATGGTTATACTCAAATACCATCAAACCAATCACATATATCGACAGCAATAATCAGACGATGTCGATATTGACATACCAAACATTTGTAAAACTCATTTAGAATGTCAGCAAAAAAGAATGGAAATCGTAAGTAAACTAGCACGACATTCAGCCGAACAAAAGTCGAAACTCGTGATAAAATGAGGAGAATCAACTAACTTGATATGCTTTTTTAACATCGATGGTTTTTTACAACGTATTCCACAACGACCACAGACATACCGACCACGTCCACGTCCACGGACATACACGTAAACTTCATTTGAAAAATAACCTCCCACTATTTTCTGAGATAATGTTTTTGCTGACTCATTTGAAATTCGAGTTCGTTGTGACTGTTGCTTATCGGTAATTCTTAATAGAACATTTGTTATCATAAGTTTTTTGTATAATTAGTCCAGCTAGATATGACAGACTGAAATCTATTCAAAATTCTTCTGTTATTGGATATTTTATCATGGTATCGTTCTATAGTCTACTAACCTAACTCGTATGTTAGAACGTACTACTTAACTGTCAGCTTTAGAGTTCGCAAATGATATGCGGAATTTTGAAATCTTTTTTTGGGATCTATGCTCTATCTTATTGCTACACTAACTTCAAACAACTTATAGACTAACTGATGCACTGAAGCAATATTAAATGAAAGAAATATACTCTTTCAAAGAAGTCAAAGCATTCCGATCCTTCTCCACTATTGCTATATTCTCTTTGTCACTGATATTTGAATCATTATCACTCCTTCCATTCGAAGAGTTATTTGACGATACAAAAGTGGTAACGTTAGTCGCAGAAACAGTTGCTGATGTGGATGCTGTCGTAGAGGAGCGTTCCTGAACAAAGGTTGCAATCACCGATTGGGAATTCATCGGTGTCGCCGTTGTTGCTGTAGCTGCTGCATTTTGACGTAGACGTATCTATAATAGGCTTGCCTCTTTTTCTCGTCCTCACTCTCTCTATTTATTCATAAAAAATACTCAAGTTGAAACCTTACTTCATGTATGCCTCGAATAAAAAAAAATCAGAAAGTTCATGAAGATGGACGGAAATTTGTTACTAATATTAAGCGAACATACGGTTATTACATCGTACTGTGGTTATACGGTTATTATATGTACTAATCGGTTGAGCGAAAAATAGAACAGGGATGAAGAAGCATCAAAACGAAAAAACTATATATTTCTAGATATGGATATATAAAATGAGAGGTTTGATTCGAATCAAATAACTGCATATGTTCTGCTTTGATATACTTTTCAAAATTACATACTTTGGTCGAATAATCCCAAAACGAAGAATGCGTCACTTTGAGTACACCCATTTCACGTAATGCCGTAGTATACCTCCATAACTGCTTAACACCCATCCGTGGCTTTGTCGAACATGTGCTTATGTAGAGCAAATTCAACTTAGCTTCCTCTGAATCTATCGTACACTGCAAGTACAAAATAATAATCAGCAGATCAGATGAATATGTTGCCATTAAATGCCTGTATTAGTGAACCTTTAAAAACAAAGCAAGACCAAACAATGAACAAATTCAAAAACTTCTGGATGAGCTGGAAAATTCCATCAAGAGTTAAACCATTTAGAAAAGTTTCACTAAATTTACCACTTTATTCGAAAAATAAATCCAAATGAAAATGGAATAAACAGACTTGTTTTTTTAAGTACGAATTAATCCATGGTTAAACAACAGCTAATATTTTGAAAAACACAAACAAGTTCCACAACAAAAGAAAAAAGAACAGAAAGAGCTAACTTGTTGCCAGTTGCTATACATGCTTAATTTCGGCTTATGTTTACAGAACATTGGCTGTGGCTTGTTCAACGTGGCAAACGTTTCCGTGGTAATATTACGCATTCGACTTCGGCGTGACGTACCATCGTTTCGGGCTGTTGATACATCGTTTAACGTTAAAATGTATGGCTTGTTAGCCACTGCACTGGTACTCTAAAAAAAAAATAAATAAATAAATAAGACGTAACTAAATAATGTAAAGTTAAGTTGAATATATACCATGCATGCCATCTTTTCTATAGAATTCCCATATGCACATGTGATGACACATGCCATCAGCACACAATTAAAATTTGTAAAGAAAGCCGAATAGATAAGAAAAGGTGGCTGTGCAAAATTACCTCAGTAAACACTACCTTCTCCCGTACCTCAGAAAACAAATTTATAATTCTCATGATAATGGCGCAACCATATGCGATATATTTAAATCGAATGAAAGAAATGCGGAAACATACCTGTGGAATTGTTGAGGCAGGATATATTCGTTGATAGGTTTGTACATTCTTTGAAGCTACAAGTTGATTGGTAGGATGAGAAGTTACCATTATCACCGTTTGTGTAATAGGAACGGAAGTCTCACTAATACCACTGATAGTACTACTGTTATTGAAACTTCGTTGGGGAACTACTGGAGCTTTGTAATGTGTAGCAGGTAACGACATACTGACTGGATTTGCAACATTTACACTTGGTTTGGATGTTTCCTGAAAATGAAATCATTGAACTGGATAATACGGGATATTAACAACAAGTAATATACAATTTGAACAACATGAGATATGATCCGGATAACTGATGGGACATTTTCCAAAAAAAGATATACGAATATTGATGAGCAAATAAAACGAGTATGGGAAGAATTTAGGCAATTTAATCAGTGCCAGAAATTGAACAAATATTTTGCAAGTGTCGAATAAGAGTTATGTTATCGGATCACTTCAAAAATTAAAAAAAAAAAAGAAAATAAAGCAATATTTAGAAAAAATATTGCGAAAAAAACACAGAATTTTAAGATGCTATCTTAAAATTTTGTACCAATTTCGGAGTTTTGCTTATGGATGCTTGAGATTCGTCGAGATGTTCCGCAGCTGCTAGCAGTCGTCGTTTGAGTGGATGACGATTTTCGCGTAACACAGGGGAAGAAGCTATATTATTATTGTTGCAGGTGTTTGTTACAGATTTACGCCCAATTCTATCAACTAGCACGGTATTTGCAGGATTTTGTTGCTGTACCATTTGGAGATGTGCAGCGGCTATTGCTGATGATGATGCTGATGACGATGTTCCTTGCGAATGTATTTCAGCTCGTCTTCAAAAAGTATAGATGAAATGCACATGTAATTTAGTTAATACAATCACTCCATATCATTAATATTATTCCGATAATGCGGTAGGTGGTATAGTCCGAGTATTTCCAGTAAAACTTATCCTATCACTGCCTACTACGAATTAACCACATGAGTTGACAAAAAAAGAATATTATCTTTATTAATTAGTATAAATAAAAGGCAATCTCGAGAGCTACAGGACAATAGGTTCTTCATAAAGTTTGGTAAATCCCTTTGAAAAAAATCATTTGGTTAATTGCAATGAATCAAACTTCTGCTCATAAAGAGCACTACAAATACACTGAATGTGTACCATCTTGTTATCAGAACAGTATGGATGATAAGAAATTATAAAATTCAAGTTTATAGGAAATAGAGCGGATAAAAAGGAGGAATAAAATTCAAGTTTATAGGAAATAGAGCGGATAAAAAGGAGGAAATAAGCAACCTCAATGAAACTACAAAATTTTTTTATAGCATGTGTGTTCCTTACAAGGGAAAAATGATGGATATGAACGTACTGATAAAAGGTGTTCATACTGATAAGGGATACAAAAGGCATCAATTACTATCCTCAAAGAAATAAGCAAAGGCTTGAAATGAAGAAAGTTTGGGCTGGATAGGGTACGATACTAAAATAGTTTATGCTTTGCGGAATAATTTGGCAACGTTTTCATATCTGTCACGCCACTGAGGATTGATATCCGTAACAGAGAAGAAAGAATTATTAAAGTGAAGTGAAAAATAATGATGGATGATATTCCGCATGATTGAAGAATGAACATTTTATAATAAATAACTGCCAATGAATAAACAGTTTATAAAAGTAGAAAAGTAAGAGAAGTATGAAGAAAGGATAATAAAACGAACTTGCTGCAACGTATTTCGTGAGCAACAAGAGCAGCATCATTTGGGAACTTTAATTCGCAATAATTGCATATACATTTATCTGATGCTTTTACGATCGGATGACCATTGGTTAATGGACCACCGGTAACTCGTACAGCGAGTGGTTTGTGCGATTCATAGAATGACTGACCATGTGTGAACTGTAAGCGTACGTCACGCAATCCTGAATGATATAAAGATTATAAGGATCGATACTTACATTTTAGCATTAAACGACAATTAATGAAAATACAGATATTTTCTAACATGTATGTATACCAAAGCTACATCAGTTTTGCATCAAAATGAAAACTAAAGTTATTCAGAAGCAAGAGTGAGTTAAGAGTACCTGGTGAATTACTTTGACTTCTAATACCCGTTTCAAGTTCAACGGACGACTGCGAGCCTACTTGACGATGATACGGACGCCTTTTAATAAGACCCGGATTCTGTTCCAGAATTGCTTCATTTTCGCTAATCAACCGCGAAATGTGCTCCTTCACCGACTCTGCACTTGTCAGCAATCCGACATTTCTATTGTCTGCCACAACCGGTTGCGATATATCTTAAAGATTTTGAGATCAAAATTCCTGTCTTGTCAACTAACGCTCCATTTGATCATTTATTATTAATTGCATAGCACCAGAATTGATGAAGTGATCCATTTATCAAGTTTAGCCAAATCTGTCTTCGTTCTCCATATGCTGTTAGGCCTTGAGATTGAGGCCAGATTTTTCATAGCCCTATCTTAGTTAACCTACAATACTTTGTATTCAAATTTTCAAAGCCAAAGATATCTATCTGCAAAGAACAAACCTATTTTGTCGTGTGTTGTCGGATTTCGAACCACCTGTTCCGCCAGCAAATTTTCAATCATTTTTTGCTGTTGTTGAGCAGCTATCGGTGCTCCAATCCCATTTTGAACTGAAATCGAACAAAGAAATCGAACGAAAAAATTTTGAACTGAAAATTGAAATCGAACAAAGAAAAAAGAAAAATTAACCAGTAATAACCATTACCATACTGAGCTCAAGATAAGTCGTTAATTAATCTAGCACGCCAACCATGCCAACTATGTGACACTATTAAAACTGTCCAAGAGTGAATTATAATCAACCAGTTGTTATCAAGCCAACTGGCCGAACGGAAAGAACGGACCTTCGACAAAACATACCTTGAATTTGAGGTGGTTGCTGCGCTTGTTGCATGTGATTGGCAGCAGTAAGCTGACTTTGTTGCAATAATGCCGTCAAATGTGGTTGATAGAAAGCGAACGGATTGAGTAATTGCGCCAATGCTGCTTGCACCTGACATCTCACGACAACTACTTGATGATAGAAAGAGGTTTTATGGTGCCTAATTAGGAGCAGAAAGGAGGAAAGGTCAATGACAAATGTATTTTGCGTCCGCGACCTGTTACGCCAAGGTACCAACGAGAATTACAAAAAGAAACATGTCCACGTCTGATACGCACAGAATAAATTGTTGAGAGTATCAACGCGATATGCGTAGCATTAAAACTGAAAATAGCTTACCTGTTGCTGCAGCGGATTCTGCTGCAGTAGCAGTTGATTGATTGCAAGCGCTTGCGCTGCATTTGCTAGTACAAATGCTTGATTCTGTTGTTGTTGCTGCTGTTGCGATTGAGGTGCAGATGCTGTTTGCTGTTGCTGAGTTGGAACGGATTGCTGTTGTTGTTGCGCAGCAACCGCCACGGCGTTTGCTGCTGCTGCTGCCGCTGCAGCGGCTTGTGGCAATATTTGCGTCGGCGGCGGAAGGGATGGTGCCGTTTGCGATACAGCTGCAGCTGCTGCGGTCCCTTGCAACAACTGCGACTGCGCCGCAACAGCTCCGGCCGAAAGAAATTGTTGGTAAAGCAGATGAGCTGCGGGAATTGGGGTTGCCGAAACCTGCGCAGCTGCCAAGGCTGCTGCACTAAGTGACGCTGCACCACGCGGTGACATCGCTTGCGCATCCTGAAATTTCGGGGCGAAACAATTCATCAAATAATCAAATAATAAAAATATTATGATAATAATATTATAATGACAAATAGTCAAGTAATCAAAGCATAACTAGCTTGTTTATTACCAAATGTTACTAACCTGCTGTCCATTATTGCCTATGAAAAGGTAAATCATATCAATGAAACATGAAGAAAGGGAAAACCGTATTTCAATCGAAATGTGCCAAGTGAAATCGGACCTGAGGACGTAACGACGCAGAAGGTATGCCACATGGTGTTGCTACTGGTTGTGCTACCGTCGGTAAACCACTTCCTATTCCTCCAATTCCGGCACCACCGCCACCACCGCCTCCTCCGGATACAAATGCCATTTCTGAAAAAGATACTGCACTGATAAATAAAGCAATCAGAGTAATAATAAATAACGGTAGAACTGACAATAACGATAGCAGTGGTAATAATAAGCAGTAATGAAAGACAATTACAAACAATAATTTAATAATAATAACTGATTTAATAATAATAATAATAACAATAATAATAGTAATAATAATAATAGTAATAATAATAATAGTAGTAGTAATAATAATGACAATAATAATAATAATAATAATTAATAATAATAATAATAATAACAATAATAATAATAATAATAACAATAATAATAATAATAA